TTTGAACCTGTGCAGTTTTCTTAAGGGTGACTTCCTTAGCTGTGTGAAAAAGTCAACTGTCATTAACCTGAGAGAGACAGCGCGACGGGAATTTTTGCATTCGAGAGCCACATCTTTTGGGCGGGAGTGTTGAAAGTTTCGCTTGCCTGCCATCATCAGGTTAAGCGTGACGATTTTTTAAACTCCCGATGGTTTTTTTAAGGGTGACTCTCCTAGCTGTCTGTAAAAGTCAATTGTTACTAAACCGACCAAGATGAAGCGATGTGAATTTTTGGATTAGAAAGGGCCGATACCTGTGTATAACCGTTGAAAGTTTCAGTTACCTGCCATCATCAGGTTTAAAGTGACGAATTTTTAAACCCCCGAAGCGTTCTTAAGTGTGTTACTCCCGGCTGTCTAAAAGCAACAATTTTTGCTAAACCATTAGAGATCAAGCGACGGTAATTTTTGCGTTTGGAAGAGACGCACAGTGTGTTTGAGCGTGGAAAGTTTCGTTTCTCTGCTATCTTCAGACTTTTATTGACTAATTTTTCAATCTGTGCAGTTTTCTTAAGGGTGACTTCCTTAGCTGTGTGAAAAAGTCAACTGTCATTAATCTGAGAGAGACAGCGCGACGAGAATTTTCGCGTTCGAGAGCCCCATCTCTTGGGTGGGAGTATTGAAAGTTTCGCTTGCCTGCCATCATCAGGTTAAGCGTGGCGAATTTTTAAACTCCCGAAGGATTTTTAATGATGAGTCCCCCGGCTGTCTATAACAGCAAATTTTTAGTAAACCAAGCGAGATAGCGCAATGGGGATTTTTGCGTTTGAAAGAGACAGATAGTGTGTGTAATATTGCAGATTTCTGTAGAATTCGCGTAGCTCTGTCTCTCTCGATTTAGCAAAAACTTACTCTTTTAAACAGCAAGGAAATGCACAATTAGGATCGCGTCAGCAGTTTAACAACTGTCACCTTAAACCTGATGATGGCAGGCAAGCGAAACTTTCAGCATTTATACACGGGGATCGTCCCATTCCAACCTTAGCGTTGCTATCAGTCCATCGCCGTCGCTTTAGCAACATTTGACTTTTTCAAACTGCTAGGAGAGGAATCGTTAAAAAAAACCGCCAGAATTTAAAAATTCGTCACGCTTAACCTGATGGTGGCAGGTAAGTGAAACTTTCAACACTCGCACCCAAAAGATGTGGCTTTCTAACGCCGAAACTTCCGTCGCCCGATCTCTATCGAGTTAGCGACAGCTCGCTTTTTTAGACAGCTTGACGAGTCACCCTTAAGCAAACTGGGGGAGTTTAAAAATTCGCCACTCTCACCCTGAGGACGACCGGGTAGCGAAAGTTTCAGCTCGCAAACACAAAACCCGTCTCTTTCCAACGCAAAGACTCCCGTTGCGCCATCTCCATCGGTTTAGGAATGATTGACTTTTTCGCGCAGCGAGGGCATCCACCCTTAACCCCGTATTTGTATTCAGTTTTTTCAAACAGCAGCAGACTTGTTGACTGACTGAAAAGAACCAAAATAAGAACGAAAACAATTATGGCAACAAACAAGGCAGCAACTGGGGAAAAACCGCGTGCTTTTAAGCCAGACAAAGATGCTTTGAATGCGGAAGTAGCAAGCGATTTTCTGCACAGTTTGGCGGCCTTGACGTGTTGACTTTACCGGCTCTGGCAGACGATTTTTCCGCATGTTTAATTTGTGTTTTTCAGCTAAATCGTTCGATTAGCATTGAACAGTCGATATTGGCGCATTTGACCGGAATAGAAACGATCGGCAAATCGAAAATTTCGATACTTCTTAATGGCTTTTACACATAAATATGCTGCTAAGACTGGCGTGCCTTTATGCATTAATGCGATTGCTTTAAGGCTAATTGCAAATGGGGATTTCGACAGCAAATTGCACTCTTCTATTGCTTATCGTTTGGGCAAAAGATCGATCTGGGGCTTTCACAGAGAGCGTTGCATTTGAGGAGGAAGTTTGAGAAATTTTGATTTTTTGAGTGCAAGATTTTCAGCTAAAGTTGGCAACGTTCAACGTTTCTTAGCAGATCGTCGGCTTTAGCAGTGTCGAAAATTTCTCAAAAATCCCCGTAAATCCTAATTTTTGCCAGGCGAGTAAAGTTTGGGCTCAAAATGCGCGTTTTCAGTCTGCTGCGCCCTCTGCGCTTAAAGCCTCTAACTCAGCAAGTGGGT